CGTTACTTTAATAATACTTTAGTATAACAAGATGATCTACAAAAATTAGCCAATCACAATAAAAGTTCGCTATGCTAAAAAAAGCATATATGTTACTTTGACGCGAAGAATTGTATAATAGCTTGTTGCTCTTTTTTTTTGTTACAAGTCAAATAACTGTTTAACATGAATAATTAACTTGCTTCTAATAAAAGTTGTGGAAGAAGAAATTTCAGTTACAAAAATTATATATACGTATATATATTGTTTACTTAAATAAGATTATGAAAATTAAAAATTCAAATCTTATAATATATTATTATAATTAATATTTTATTATCTAAATCTTTATTAGAAGCAGAAATAGGTTTATTTAGTAAAAATTGAGAAACATTTTCAAAACAATCTAATTCTGGTTAATTTTGCTATTGGAAATAAGTTTTAAACTCATTAATAGCCAAATGATCTGCAAATTTAACTAGAATTAGATTGTTTTAAAAATTCAGTAATTATTATATTATATAAAATTATGTAATTATGTTATTTGTTTACTATAATTAATATAACCAAACTATTTTTCAAATTTTCTTATTTGGAAAATGCTAAAGTAAAGCAATTATAATTAGAGTTAAATTATTGCTAGGTTATTGTTAAGCAAAAGTTATAAATAAAACCACTCTCTTGATATTTTTGTTTGTATTTCAAGACAGGTTTAAACACTTGTTTCTTGTATTTATAGCTTTTTTTTTATAAAAATTTTACAACTTGATTGATTAATCCATATAGAACTTCCAAATAAGAAAATCAAAAAACATTTGGCAATATTGGCCTTCTAATATAAACTAAATTTTAACCAAGTAATGTGAATATTACAAAGTATTACTTGATTAACTAATCTTAAAAGTTTTTTAAAATCTAGCATTAGTTATTATTTAGCTAGTAGTGATACAAATTGCCAAAAATTTTGCAATCAATTAGTTGCCAACTTTTCGATTATTCGGTTTTTATTCGATTTTAATATAAATTTTTAATCAATTAGTTGTCAACTTTTCAATAGTTGCAATTTTTGATTTTCGTTTTGTAACACTATTAGCTAGTTAGTTAAACTACTTAGATTAGCTAACTATCAAACAATTTCAAATTATCATTAATATAAAGTTTTAATATTTTGCTATAAATCATATAAAATAAGTAACTATTAGAGACTTGCACTAATGAACTGGAAATATTAGCACTTTATTCTTAAAAGTTACAAATTTAAATTATTGAATAGTTAGATAAAATTTATTCTGTATTTACACTATAGAATTCAAACTTCAGCAACATCAAGATTAATTTGAGTATAATTTCGCTGAGATAAATCTAAATAAGCAAATAATATTATTTTAAATATAAATCATATAATATAAATTTAATATATTAGTTGAAAATAAAAAATACCTTTGATTGCTCTTGAAATTAATTTTGTTCTAATAATTTTGCTAGTATACATTTCATCAGAATGTTTTGGTGTTGGCAATGATTTAATAACTTTATCTGCTTCTAAGAATTGATTTTTAATTTTATTATCATCTGAACTAGCTATCTTTTGATGCCAATCATATATTTTATTCCATATAATTCTAGCACTAGGCCGTTTTTGCGGATCAGAATTCATGAATTCCTTAGCCAATTCAATATAGTATTTAGGAGTTCCGGGTGCAAACTTTGGTCGCAATCCTCTACAAATTTCTACTGCAAGTTTAGTCTCATTAAATTAAACTCCATCAAAAGGTCTTTGTCCTGTCGATATTTCTGTCATAATAATACCAAATCCATAAATATCTGCTGCTTGTGTAAACTTCTCGCTTAATAAAACTTCCGGTGCAACATAGGGCATAACTCCATAAATTTCTTCTTCTAAAACTTTTTCATCGTTTTTTCTAGACAATCCTAAATCTGCGATATAAGATTGTATATTTTCATTAGTGGATTGTTCTTGCAAAATGTTGCCACTATGAAAATCTGCATGAACATATTTTGCCATATGAATATTAACTAATTCAGCTGAAATATCTTTAAGCATTTGCAATTTAGCCTGCCATGTAAGTTTACTAAAATTTCTTCTTAAATATTTATAAAGACTTCCATTATTAGCATACTGAAAAACCATCAGAAATTCATTTGTCTCGGTATTTTGAGTCATTCCATAGATTGCAAGCTTAGTAGAATAATACTGTAATTTACATTCAATAAAACTTTTAAACTTAAAAGTTTAAGCAATAAGTTAAAGTCAGTTCCATAAAATATTATTACATAAATTAATTATAAAAAAAAAAACAAATTAGCATACTTCTTTTAAAAAATCAAATTTGTTTTCCTTAGAATTGGATAACGTCTTGAGTGCAACAGTGCTCGATGGTTCACGCGCTCTTACATAATTATAATCATGACCATCAACTTTTCGCACACCATCCAACCAGGTTGCTGAATATACAGACCCAAATCCTCCTTTACCGATTTCTTTGACATCAGATAATCTATTAAATGGAATCCATTCAATTGCATCTTCATATGCGCGGGCTCTAAGTTGGAATTCTTTCATGCAATCGTCAATCACTTTATTTTTACTTGTCCACCTTATTGTTATGTCTGGGTCGCATGATAGGCACCATGCTTTGTTAGTGTTATCTTCATTACAATGTGCACATTTTCCATAAAAAGATATTCTATATAATATATAAAGTTTATTTCGCATCTGCAGTTTTGAACTTTATGCCGGGTGTAAATAATTTTATACTCACCGACTAAATTAATGCGAATGAAATGAATTTAAACGTAATGGTAAATAAGTATTTATGATCTTGTTTTGTGAACTTGTTTTGCTGTTTTTATTTCCATTGATTAATAAATGTTCTTTATACTCACTCACAGAATAAAATGATTAATGCGAATGAAATGAATTTAAACGTAATGGTAAATAAGTATTTATGTTCATGTTTTGTGAACTTGTTTTGCTGGTTTTATTTCCATTGATTAATAAATGTTCTTTATACTCACAAACTAAATTAATGCGAATTAAATGAATTTAAACGTAATGGTAAATAAGTATTTATAATCTTGTTTTCTGAACTTGGTTTGCTGTTTTTATTTCCATTGATTAATAAATGTTCTTTATACTCACAGACTAAATTAATGCGAATTAAATGAATTTAAACGTAATGGTAAATAAGTATTTATGTTCTTGTTTTGTGAACTTGGTTTGCTGTTTTTATTTCCATTGATTTATAAATGTTCTTTATACTCACATTCTAAATTAATGCGAATGAAATGAATTTAAGCGTAACTTTAAATAAGTATTTATGATCTTGTTCTGTGAACTTATTTTGCTGATTTTATTTCAATTTATTAATTAATGTTCTTTATACTCACAGACTAAATTAATACGGATGAGATGAATTTAAACATAATGGTAAATAAGGATTTATGTTCCTGTTTTGTGAACTTGTTTTACTGTTTTTATTTTTAAAAATTAATAAACGCTTTTTGTACTCACGGACTGAATTGGCACAAATAATAATCATTTATGAGCTTAAATGTAAGATACGCAAATTAATAAATATAACTGATGCTTACTCCCTGTTAATTAAAGTTTGATTAGTTATTTTAATTTCAGTTTAATAAATTACAACCTATTGTAACAAAAAATATCAAAAATTAACATACTTCTTGATCCAATCTTTAAATTTGTAACAAATGGCTGTTTTCCAAATCCCCATAGAATTACCAGCTTCGGCAGACTTCAAATAATATGTAAACGCTTTATGCTTATCAACTTCAACTCCAATTCCTAAATAATAACAATAACCAACGTGATACAGTCCGTTAGAATCATTCATGTCAGCAGATTTTTTATAATATATGAATGCCTTGTTTTCATCCTTTTCAGTTCCAATTCCATATTCGTAACAATATCCAAGCCTGTAAATTGCGTCTAGATCACTCATATCTGCCAATTTTTGACAACTAGCGAAATTTAGTTGATTGAAATTATCGATTAATTTGGTCAAATTTTCGTTTGCCATTTTGATTTATGAAAAAAAGAAATACATCGATGCTGTAAAATTTATAACTTGCATTGGTTAAACAATATAGCCTAAATTATACCTGTGCAGCGTTCAGCAATGACATGTACTACGTACGTACTGTGCGGGAAGATTAACACAATGAAGCTAAATTCAGTAGCGGCTTATTTTAAGTTTCAGCAACATGCATTATTATTCTTGGCATAGTTTTCTATGCAAAAAAGTTTGAGTTCTAGATCCTTCAACTCTATTGAGATTGATAATTTTACGAAAATTTACTTCTAAACTGCTACCATTAATGCTTTATCTAAAATCTGGTTATATATTAATATAAGTAATTCTTAAAGCTAGCTAACACATTTATTTATTTTATTATATAATTATACAACTATGTATTGTTGCTTATTTTACTTATTACATTTATTTTCTTACTCTCGTGAACAAGTTCATCTCGTTGATAACTGCACCTCTAGAAATAATACAAACTATATACTCATATTTTCAATGTGCATTGTGCAAGAAGGAGATCTTCTGTTTCATGCTACACACGTACATACGTACTGTACGTACATCCAAATTTTTTCCTAAATTATTTCATTGACTAAAAAAAAAAAAATTGCTGTACGTGATATTACAAAAAATTGATTATATTACTTAAAGCTTATTAGAAAAAGTATCTATGTTAAATGACTAAACTTTATGTAATTGCTCAAGTGAGGTTTTTTCAGATAAAAAAAGTAAAAAAATTTCTATTTATTCTATAAAGGATATTAAAATTTTGGTATCTGGATGTATCTGGTTGAATTATATTTTGTTCTTGCTGCCAATTAGTAATTATTTGATCAAATTCGCATGGTTGGTAAGATTTATTTGCATCATCAAAACTGTAAGGTAAAAACAATAAATATACAGGAAATAGGAAAATAAGAATTAAATAAAATAATTTAATTGTTACTTGCCAGCAGAATAAAGCTGTTTTTTGCGAAACATTTTCATCATTCATCAATTGATTTATATCATTTATGTCATAAACAGAGAGGTTCATTAAGCATTTGGTGTTGACTTCTGGCAGCCCAAGGACACATGAATTCAATGTGCAGGATTCTATAATATCTCTATTTTTAGAAAATTCTATTTTGTATTGGTTGTTTATTTTAAAAATAGGAAGTTCACCACTTCTAAGCAGTACAGGATAGTTTGTCTGGTCAAAATCGAAGTTTATAGGCTGACCAACAATGATCCATCCAACTTTTACGGGATTATTTTTATGTTTTTTACGTAAAGATTTTTTAAGATGAACTATTATTAGAGGCATATGCACATTCACATAATCTATCCGTAAAGAGAAATTATCTCTATCATCTTTTTCTATAATCGAGGCAAAGATATAACAATTGTTAATCTTTGCAATTTTACCTAAGCCTGCAAACTGCGTGGCTAGTGAGTGTACATATGTTGTATTCTTTGAAAAATCCCAATTTAGTGGAACATTATTAATACCCGCTATAAAGATATAAATTAAAAATAATATAAATCAATTATCTGTTATAGCACGTATATTAATAAGATACAAAGGATTATTACCTTTTAAAATGCGATAACCTAGAACATCTAAAATTTCTTTTTGTAAGCTATCATTCAATAAATCAAAAATTGAATAAATTTCATCATATTCAATAATATCCCAAGTGTTACAATCATTGAGAGATTTAATCCAAGGCTTTAAAGAAAATCCATTATTATGTTCTTTAATTCCACCGATGACTCGAACTTCAGAGTTTTGATTGTTATCAATATCTAATGCCCAAATAAATTTTAGACCAAGTTTTCGATAAAAAAAAAATAGAAATTCATAATCAATTAATTTAATTTACCTAGAATTTCTTCACCAGACGCTTCCTTAATCATGGCCCCTCCGAAAACAAGACGGAGTGTGTAAAAATTCCCATATTCTTTTGATACCCTACGGAGCTGAGCCTCTTTATCCTTGCTTCTTAATGCATTCTTAACTGCCTTAATAAATTCTTCAGTAGGTTTAATGTTTGATTTCGAGATGTTGAGTTCTTCTTTTTCCCATTTTATATATGAACATTCTGTGGTTGTCAGACTATCAAGCGAAGTATCTCCAATAAAAACCGAAAGAAAGGGTAAAATATTTGAAATATTTTTACATGAAATAAAGTTACGTTTGAATAAAGCATCTAATTTGTTATTGTATTTTTCCACTTTTTCAATTTCGTTATGTAATTGAGTTTTTGATTCAACTTTGTTAATATCAATTGTAAATGCTTGTTTAGAAGCTCTTTTAATGATTTTATTATCGAATACATATCCTTTAAATTTCGAAGTCAAACCAAAGCATGATAACTGTTTTCTATTTAAGGTGTATGTATCGTCTGTTAATTGTTGAAATTCAGTTAAATTATTACTTGCATCGTCATCTTTAATACTCTTTCTTGGAACATGTCGATTTTGTACCTTGAACATGTCTTGAATTTTATCGGCATTTTTTACTTTAGGTGGAACGTATTTATGCTTTTCATTATGGTTATTATTAGGATAGCCGTTGCTTTTCATTTTTTTCCGAAATAATATACGTATTGTTCATTGAAGGTCGATTTTTTGTTCGGAGTTTCTATAAATGCGTTCAAAAATCTGTTAGTTATACAATCAATATTTGTAGTAATTTTAGTTATTTGCTTTGTATTTACGACACATGTGAGACGTCACCAGGTACGTGCGTGTGCACTCCGTACGTGCGTGTGTACGTCGTACGTACTTTTTTGTCAATTTTGTGTAAGTGCGCACACGCAGTAAATTATGTAAAAAAGTATTTAGGACTTGAAATAGGCTAATAATGAAATAATATTAAACCGAATATAGGTTGCATTTAAGTGCGCAGTAGATAATTTTTTAATACAATCATTTATGTCAATTCAAACCAATATTTATTTATTTTACAGACTATCATTTCATCCGATTGTTTAATATTTATATTCATAATTGTCTTAAAATTGTGTGAACAACTCTACAAAAAATGTCTAACGAAGAAAATATAGTTAAGCTATTATCTCTTATGAGTGATGATATTTATGAAATCAAACAAATCTGTTTAAAAGCTCGATATAATAAATCGATCAAAAATGCCTTTATTGAGTTAATATTACTTTCGGCAGAGCCAATTGTGAAACTATATTTATTACAATATCAGAAAGAAGGTCAAGAAGATGGCTTGTATTTTAATTTAGAATATCTTAAGTTAGAGGATCTAAACTCACTTGAGAAATTTAAAAATTCTTTGACAAACATCAAAGAATTTGCCAAATTTGTGACGCAAATTCATGGTTCTATAAAATATAAAGATTCATCGAGTATAAAACGAAATTTCGAACAAATTATAGAAGATTATAGGACTTATGCGAAAGATTTGAATCCGAAGCTTCCAATGGCTAATATTAACGAGCAAGAATGTTTAAAGGACGAAGAAATAGATGATGTATGTTAGAATTAATTAAATAACTTATAGATAATGTCAATTTATTAGCATTCTTTAATTAATTATTAATAATTGTTCTTTTGTATATTTATAGTTTATCGAGAAACAATCTTTAATAGTGAATAAAAAATTAAACAATGGTCTGATTATTTGCGACCGAGGAATAAATTCAGTATATGAATTCGAAGTTCAATTCCAAATTAATATTAATCCTATAAGTCACAATGCTGGAGAATTCTGTGTAAATTTAGTACCTATTAAAGAACGAAGGGATATTTTATTAAAATATCATATTAAGCCATCTGCAATTAGCTTTGAGAATTTTCAATTTATTCCAAATCATCTTGCAAATGAACGTCAAAATGCCAATCTTGAAATACAGTACCCTTTATGGGAATTAGTTTTCGAGATTGAAAATATAGCAATTCCTAAAAAATTGATCAAAGACATTAATGATGCTTTGGAATGCAATAATCCCATCATGAATTAACGCAAGTCTTTAAACATTATGGATATTTTGTACCGAAAAAAGTTACTCTTGGGCATAAATTATTTAAAATGTCATGCCTAAAAAGGCATAAAACTTTGTTCGAAAAGGAAAAATTTGTGACTCATGAACATTTTAAATCGATTGAGTTTGAGGAATTCTGGTATCAATGGAATAGCTCAACTATACATTTTAGCTTTAATGAATCATATTTGTCGTCTATGAATTCTGAAATCTACGAGGGAAAAGACATTAAAGAGTGGGCATCTCATCTGAGTAATAATGTTAGTGACCTGCAAATCATTAGTTGGGATAAGCTATACCCATTGTATGAGTTGCTAGATGATGATTTGAAACAAAAAGTCAAAGCTATTTTTGGGATTAATAACCTAACAAAAAGCACCAAAATTGAGGAAAAGGTGCTAATGTCAGGTGTTATTAAAATTACAGATTCTTTCTTCTATATTGTAAAATTTCCTTATGAACTAAACTCTATAGATTATCATATTTTCGGAAGATTAATAACTCAAGAAGGGAAACCAATTGACGCGATTATAAAATTTAAGGCTATGACTACACATAGTTTCATAGTGTGGATTGATATTGATAAAACAGTGTAAGTATTTATTCTTATCTTGATAATAATTACAGAATTATGAATGAATTCTAAATTGTCTAATTTCGATTTTTAGTAAGTCCATACATTCGAATCTACAGATTTTTTGGATCATGACCGGGCTACCCGAAATTGGTTTCTATAGTCCATCTACTAGAGATGTCACCACACTAGCATCAGGTAGTTTCGAATTTGCGTATGCAAGGAAGTTGGAAATTATATTACGATTACCAGAAAATATACCAACAAATTGGATTTTATGTACCTCTTTCCAATATTTCGATTGTATTCCGAGTTTCACGGCTACTACTATTCAGTACGATAAAGATAGTAATCAAATCAATGTTACTATTCAAGATGATTCTGATGTACATATTAGCAAGTTTGATCAAATTAAAAAATATTATTGCTTCCATTGGTGTATTATTTCCGAAGACCATGAAATTTTACCCGATGTTCTTAAAAGTCGAGAGGCTTTAACAGGCGTTACTGAAAATCATGATATGCCTCCCGAAAATTTGGATGATATTTCTAATAGTAAAGAGATCTCAGCTGATATTCTTCCGGGAAAAAGATATAATTTGAATTCGATAGGTCAAGACGTTTACGAGAAACCTAAAGGTAACGTAATAATATATATTTATATCTTTTTTACAATCGCATTGAGTTTCTAATAATCAAATTATTATTCTTTTTAGAACCTGAATATGGGGTGCTATCGCAATTGTTCATGATACATTATCAAAATAATATTGTAAGGTCATAACGAAGAAAGACAGATATAGCAGCATTTAGTTAATTTTACCTCAAATTTAATGAGAATCAATGTAACATAATCAGCATAAATTTTCAATATTCTATTCACTCATAATGTAAATATAGCACTTATTTGCAACGTATATATTCATATTATAACATATTGTAACAATTATACAATACATAATTATGATCATATGAATTTGTCATGATTTAATATATGACACTTATTTGAAACATACGTACATATATTCTTATTATAGCATATTGTAACAATTAACTATACATAATTATAACCATGTAAATACATAAAATAAAATAAATATATATATCTAAGTAACATTATAAATGGAAGTCCAACCAGCATACAGAGAAAAAAATAAGATATTGTTTTCAATCTTGATTAGGGTATATCCATTACGTATTAAAGGTGTCATCAAGAGTTTACATGTTTTGAATGTACGTTAGCCTAAACCCACTTTTAAGCTACGTTATGTGACCCTTAATTTCTTGTGGTATTATAGATTTTAACCATCTATGAGTGTCAAAAAATCTTCTTAAAGTCAACTTTTCATAAGTGCACCCTTTTGGAAAATACATGAAATCTTCAAAAAAAAAAGAAAAAAGCGTACTCGAAGGATGAGATTTATGTTAAGAATTCTATTGGCTTGAAATTTAAACTTAGTGTGTATTTAAGAGATGAGGTGGTGCACTTATGGAAGTTGATTGTCTTTAAATTTGATTAAAAGGTAACCTATTCTTACAGAATCCAAAGATGGCGTGTTTAAAGCCTCATAAATGATTTCTTTAAAATTGACATTAAGAAATCCGTGATTACAACATTGCACAAAAAGTTGGTTCGCCAATATTAGTTCTTCATTATGTAAAGTTTCATCTTGTTTAAAATTTATGTTTCCAGGGAAGACGCTAAAATTTTCTTTTTCTGTGCCATGAAATAAATGTGGTTGAGTTTCGCTCTTTACCCAATTAATATTCATTTGACCAGCCTTACATTCTTGATTATCATCAATAATGCTGATAGAGCTGCAAAAAAAGTAAGAACAACTAGTTAGTAATAAATTAGCAATATTTTAAAAATATTTACTTTTTATAACAAAGAAATTACCAAACAAACAATTTCAATCTTTGTAACAGTTCATCATCATTAACCAATTCACCTTTAAGATCATGGACAAATATACATGCTGAATGGCTAGAAGGAATAATATGTGCGCCAACGACTAAAGTTTCTTTGGTTGTTTTAGATGCGGCTTCAAGCACGCACGTGCTCAATATATAGGAATTATCATATTTTGGAAATTCTACCTTATAGTGTTTACCTTCTTTCGAGGAAACAGAATATTTTTTACTTTCAAACACTATAGGATATTCGGTTTGAACAAAGTCAAAATCAAAATTATTTGGTTGCCCAACAATAATCCATCCTATCTTTATTGGGTGATTATGCGGAATACTTTTATTTGTGATATTATGAACTATAATTGCTGGACTATTTTCGTCATCAATATATTCTACTCTTAAAGACAAAACACCTTCATCTTGGTTCATTATTGAAGCAAATATATGGCAATTTTTAATATTTGTAATTTTGCTTAACTCTCCTAATTGTGGAGCTAATGAATATATGTATGGAATTTTTCTAGAGAAATGACCTAATGGAATTTCTTTAATATCCGCTATTAATTTATAAAAGTGATAATTATATAAATATACAGTATAACAATATAATATGGGGGCTTTGCAGTAGAAAGGGCGGATACGACCCCAAAATGGAAAAATGAGTTTTTATTAAATTCTAGTAAATTTCAATGTGAACAGCATTTTTCAATTATAAATGAAAGTCAATTTGCATAATAAAAAATCAAGACAAGTAATGTAAAAGAAAGTTGAGCGAAGTTGAAACCAAGCGCATCACGAGATTACCCGTTAGTCACATGTTATATTTAGCCAATCAAAATTGTGAATTTTGATTAACCCGGATCAGTAAACTCAATTATCTCAAAATTATATATATTGACGTATCCGCCCTTTCTACTGCAAAGGCCCCATATTTCAATTATATAACAATTAAAATATTAATAAATTAAATTACCTTTTAAAATTCGATAGCCCAATACATCCAAGACCTTATTTCTCAAATCATCATCCAATAGATCAAATATTGGATAAATATTACTGTACTCAATTATTTTCCATTTTTTAAAGTCTTCGATTGACTCCGCAAATGCTGTTAGAGAAGATTCATTACCAAGATCCCCTCCACCAATGAATCTTAAATTGCTATTGCCTAAATATTAAGATTTTTATTATTTAAAAGTTTGACTCATTGATAATTAATTTAGAAGCGTAGGATTGTCGTAAATAATGATGTCGATACTTACTTGAGTTTTTGGCATTTTTTTCTTTTATTATAGCTCCTCCAAAAACAATATGACGCGCATAAAAACAACCATAAACTTTTGTTATTTCTCGAAGGCCATCTATTATCTCGTGATAACTTTTATGTGAATTCAACGTCTTTTCAATTTTCTTTTTAAATTCTTCCTCCAATATTATATATTCTTTTGAAATAAAAATCTCTGCCTTTTTAAATTTTGTAATGAAAATTTCTGTAGTCATCTGATTAATAAGTTTTTGCTTAGCAGTTTCTTTGCCTGATCCAAGAAAGATAGAAAGCCACGGTAAAATTGTTGAATCTTTATATGAAATAAGATTTCGGCAACATAAAATGTCGAATTTATTTTTACATACTACATTTTCTTCTTCGTAATTAAAATGTTCTGATATAGTGCTATTTTCATTAACCTTAAAAATTTCTGATTTGATTTTACTTTTATTTATTTTAAATGCAGGTTTTTGTGCATTTTCAATCAAATAATCATTAAATATGAAAGCCTTTTCAATTATCTCTATTAATTTTTCCCAAACATCAACTATCTGAATATGATAATAATTTTTTCTAATAGAAGGTCGTAAAATCGACTCTAAAGATATATTGTGTTCTTCTTCATGTCGAATTGGTTCGTTTTTTTTACTCACAAAATAATCAAATTGTATGCTATTAGACGTTTCTTCTTTCAGAATCATATTTCGTACATGATCAAGTTTTTTTTCTTTTGACAATTTGAATTTATATGAATTAATATATGGATTGACTACATTAACACTAACTTGGATCTCAGAAGATTGTTCGTCAACATCACTTTCAATTTCGATATAATCTATAATATCAGTACTCTCTATAGTTTTTATATTAGGACTATAATCTTTAACTAAAGCTTGAAGGGTATCAAGAACTAAACTGGCTTCTGGTCGATTGCTAGGTTCATAATCCCAACAATCGACATAAAGTAACATATATCTTTTTGGTGTACCGTATACAGATTTTTCTCTCATTCCTTTGAGGACATTACATGCAATATAATATTTATCTTTATTTTGAAAAGGCTGTCGACAGCTAGAAATCTCCCAGAGAATTACACCAAGACTATAGATATCAGATTTCTTAGAAATAAGCAAAGGATTTTCAAAGCATTGAGGGTCAATGTATGCAGGCATTCCGTAATCAGATGAATTTACAAGTTCCACATCTTCATGTTGAGATAATCCGAAATCAGTAATCATAGCTTGTCCTTTATGAATCAAGATATTCTTTGAATGCTAAGCATATTATGGATCATTATTGTTGGTTAGCTTAAATTGATTTGCAATAATGTAACACAAATGAATATATTTACAAAATCTCGGTGAATAATTCCATTATTATGCAAAAAATTCAATCCATCAGCTATTTCATTTGCAATATTTAATTTATCGGACCATCCCAATGTTGATTGATTTTTTTCCAAATAATTTCGTAAGTTTCCATCTTCTGCATATTTTAGAATGAATATGTTCTCATCTGTTTATTTATTTAATATTATAACTAAATATTTATTATATTACAACTAAAGTACTCGTCAATTAAATTATTGTTACCTTTGATAGCATCATAAAATTTAATAATCCTCGGATGATAATCAAAATTTCTAAAATGTTCAAGCTGCATAATTTAAAAAAAAAGAATACTATTTTATATGGGAATACAGCAATTTAATAATGTTACAAGTATACAGTATATGTTAGTACCTCTTTAGTAATGTACTTTTCATCTTGATCAGGCTTTAGTTGCTTGAGAGCAACTACTTCATTGTTGCACATATATATAGCTTTATAAATCTTTCCATGTGCGCCTTCACCAATTGTCTCCTGGATAGTAAAGTCACTAAATTTGTAATGTTTGTCTTGACACTCATTTTTAGATTGCAATGACATTCTTAATAACAGTAGCGAAAATTTTGAAGAAAGATAAAAAATAAATAAATAAATGTCTAAAATCTTAAATAAATATTTACGTACACATGACAATCAAACAATCTCTGGTCATATGTATTGTTGTGTGATTAAGTGTAAATGAAATTTATAAAAACATAGGCAGTTTATTAAAGAATCTCTATTATCATATCAGATTCAGATTTTCATTTAAAATATCCATCATTTGATATAATTTGGTGTGACTAATCTAATCGCATCGCATCTATCGTTATACTTATTTTTAATATACTTTAAAAGGAAAGTGAATTCGGAAAACCAACACCCAATATTCCGGGTTGAAGAATGTTCTAATTTTACTAACTTTTAAACATTTCAGTAAATTGTCGCACAGCTTAAATGGTTTGTTTAACTGTGTGGTAAACATTAACTCAAATTTAAAACGGAAATTACGCAGGTACATACTACATAATTATTTAACAGTTAACATATTGAATAAACATTAACACATGTTTAGAACAGGAATTACGTACTTACGTGTAATCATTTTTATGTTAAACCATCAATCCTAGATATAATGAATAGTAACTGCCGTAAATTACGAATTTTCGAAAATTTTTTAAAAGATCCGTCAGTAGCATTACTACATATAGTTTGACTGTACATCTATTACTGAAAAAATAATGCCTTCTGACCATTCATTCCAAGATAAAGAAACCGACGGGGATTAATGATGCCTGACGAATGATGAAATAGTTTCGTTTAGACGAATGACGAAACCATTTCGTCAGGTAACTTCGAATTGGCGAATGACGAATGACGAAACTCGTGACGAATGACGAAACTCGTGACGAATGACGAAACTCATGACGAATGACGAAACTCATGACGAATGACGAATGAC